ATAACAAAATCCTTTATCTTCAGGACGTATATCCATATACACTGTTTTAATACTTTATACATGACTTAAAACTGTTTTTTCCTTTTACTGTAATTCTGTTTTCACAATTATTTAACTGGAAAAACACATGATTAAAAGTACATACCATAGGCGCGGCCATTTTGGAATCAATGCTACGTACATTACGCTAATGAATTCAGTACTGTTCTTTAGAGGTTGTTTTAGAGTTCAACTTGAATCTATCTTATTTTTCGTTTTATGAGTTCATATTCCAGTTTCTATTGATTTTACCACTCACTTATGTGGCGGGACAACACTTCGTCGGGAATGCTGTTACAGCAACTGACGGGTTAACTGGTAAACTAGTCAACCTTGAATTGAATTCTGACGGCTTAATATGAGTTACCTTGATATAACTGCATTTCGTTCAGTACTAAATTCAAACCATAATAATCTAATATAAAATATTAAAGATAGTATGAATATATACATATACAGAAAATTTGGAGAATTGATTAAGAAAGCACGTGGCTATTAGCGAATATGAAATTGTCAGCGTCATGAGGGCGCTTCCACCAAAATAAATCTCGAAATGCGGAAGCAGAGGGGAACAGCATATCAACTATACGGATAAGTTCACATTGGTTTGACTGGTAAACCGAAATAACGTCACACAGAACAAGAGATGAAAGTACATGTATATGGAAAGCCTTGATAGCCAATGCCTGGAACTGACAGGGCCCCCTAGCAAGCAATCATGATCAGGTACATGTATTCCTAACAAATGTTGCATGTCGAATGCTGTCCGTCTTTTAACAAATCAGCATATTGCTTTGTTCCATGTGAAAAAAACTTCAAGGTCAACATATTTCTTTTCCTCCAGAAAAAATTCCCTAGTCATGCTAGCTGCTATATGTATGATGTTATGTAATTTCGTTTATTCTTGATATTGAACTAGATTTCAGATTCTAAATTCATTTATATGCAAACATCGGCTAAATTTGACAAAGTCAAAAGTCATTTACTATGGCATTTACATTTAATTTAAAAAATAAAGACCATTTATGGTCAAGCGATTGCATTGTGAAAGAAACGTTGTGGAATCGATCAGAAAAGGTTGATCATCTAGCATATAAGTATTGGAATGTACTGCAAGGTTCTGGAATCATCAAAATGATAAGAAATTTGGCCCAGTCTTCGTAAAGTTACAAGCACTGTACACAGAAAGATGTACATGGGACTACGCGACACGTGCGTTTATCTCTCACACACCAATGGACAAACTAATTTACCAAATATATGAATTAGTAGGCGGTTTCCCGGCAATTTTTTTTATCATCATGTATTAGTCAAAACATACTCTTGTACATGATTGTTAATAAGAGCTTCCATTTCATTTTTTGAAATTGAGGCGTTTCCAATACTGGTCTTTACCTTCAAGCCACACTGTCCTACTTATAGTTACTTGTATTAAAATCTAATCAGTGACGATTTCTTATGTTAATTGAGAGCTGAGTTGATGAGATAACCATCTGCCCAGTGACCATGCAGAGTGGTCTTATCCTTCCTATAAACTAGTACAGATAACCTTTAAACATTAAATTAAAGGAATAGTTGAGTTCTGTTGCAGAGGGCGCTACATAAAATATTTATTTTGTGTGAATAATGAAAAACTGAGTATCAAATTTGAAAGATCATCTTTATTTGATCAATATAGGTTCAGAGACGGCTGAAATATTCATAAATATAACCAGGTTCAATATTTGTGTAGGACCACAAATATTCAATAATTTGAAAAAGCCGTTAAAAAAATGAAAAACGCGTCTTTTACGTTGTATTTCAGCCAATGTCGACGTTGCTTTTGTTGTTGGCTTTTTCGAGTTGGTTACATTACACACAACCACCCGGCCCATGTATTGATATTATTAACGGTCACCGTATTTTTTTAAAGTGGAGCTGAATTGGTATGATCGTATTGGCTAAAGTTTTACACATTTTGGGGTCTAAAATTGCCTTCATACCAATTTTAGGTTCTAAAATAGCACTAGATATATCAGAGATAAGAATTAGAGCAACAACCATGCACTCTGAATGCATTTGCAGGCTGAAAACAGAACTCAACTATCCCTTTAAACAAATATGCAGGCCTCCTGGTTTGGTTGTTTTATTTGAAGTCAGTGTGTGAATAAAAATCAGGCTGTTTTTGTTGAAATTAAACTCAAATGACATGTCACAGACCACTCTCGGTCAAGGCTGCACTAATTTTGAATGACCGATGTTCATTCCTTCTTAGGTTTTGGAAAGGGGTCATATGCTGGGTCCACGATATGGAAATAATTTGCGAAATTGTCAAAAAAATGAAGGAACATAAATAGATCTTGAAAATAAAGACGAAATGTCGGAATCCAATACTCAGTCTTACAACAAAAAAGGGTGCGTTGGATTCGAATCGATCCCAACTTGAAAGCAGTAGCAACTCATCTCAAGACGGAGTTAAATGATTCAACTGCCGGTAGATTAAGGAGGGCAGTCTTAACATGCTGAATGACGGACTTCTGACCTAAGTTTGCCTCCTCTTCTAGCGCCACTGGCTTTGGTACAAAACCTTTAAGAAAGAATATGCATCAAATATGCATCAAAAAGAATCTATAATTGATAGTTAACCCCTATACATAATAAAGTGTTAAACTAAGTGTTGATGCCAATTTTTAAATACTTTTGGGGATATTTTAACAGGTTTATTGGTTGGTTTATTCACATATTTACCTTATTAAACTATAAGGAAATAATGCTCCTGAGAACACTTTGTCGCCGTTGTAATGGGAGTCATCATCATCGGGACAAACTGGTTCGACAGATTGTCGTCTTGTAGTTCATACATTCTGGTAACAATTGTTCATGCGGCAGTCGACCGGGTCTGGGTGTGGATTGGGTCGAGGGATCGTAGCCATTGCAGTTCGATGACTCGTCCCACCATCACTGTAATCCTTAGCAACTCGAGCAATCAATCAGAAAATCTTGGTATTTTTAAAATTCTTCTTACCTATCATGACTTCAAATGAGAAATCCGTAAAACCCTCTTTGAAGAGTCGATTGCTGAGAAGGATGCGTTTCTGCTGATTCAGTGTTTTTTTCCTTATTTTTTCTGCCCAATTGTAAAGGACTTCCTGGAGATGTGACATTCCTTCAGAAGGTTTAATCTTGATGTCAAGAATCTCAGCAACGTTGCAGGCTACACCGTATCTGATCGCTTTTTCCGTATTCCCCGTTTCAAGGTATTCTCCTGGAAAGATCAAATTACACGCTTATTCCAATATCCTTCGTTACCTTTAAAGACATGTCTTATAAAATTGTACTAAATCGAGTCATTTTTTCTCATACTTTAATTACACTGTCAAACCAAAGTAACTGCTATGATACTCCTTGTTTTATGGTCAAGCCCTGAAATGGTTTAAATTATACCTGTCATGTCATTCTCAAGCTGTCTTGATCAACGGCTGCCTTTCAGATTTGTTACCGCTTACACGCGCCGGAGTTTCGCAAGGCTCTATGGGCGAGCCCACCATGTTCTCGTTGTATTTAGCCGGTTAAAAGAATATTATTCATCAACATTATCTTTGTTATCATGTTTATGCTGATGATATTCAAATATATACTTCTTTCAAACCCAATCACAGCATGCAGCCAGTGCTATACATAATCTTCAGACTTGTGTACAAGATCTGCATAATTGGTTGAACTCACATTCACTAAAATTGAATCTCGCCAAAAGTGAATTTGTAATGAACGGTTCTAAGACTCAGTTAGAGAAGATTGCCATTACTTTAATTACTCTTTCTAGAATGAAATTACCTTATCCATTGTATGTCGTAACTTTGGTGTGTTTCTCGACTCAAATATGACAATATCTACACAAATTCAGTATGTCTCAAAATCAGTACGTTATCAGTTATGCAATGTAGGATTCATTCGTAAACATCTTAGGCGTGGTGCCACTAAGAACATGCTTAAATCTCATCTCGCTTGGAGTTTAGAAATGGTCTTTTGTTTGGTTCACCTCACAACCTACTCGCAAAAATTACAAAAAATACAGAATGCTGCTGCTCGTGTCTTGACCCTCTTCAACAAGTACAGCCACGTCACACCAGTCCTCAAATCACTCCATTAGTTGCCCGTGGAACAACGTGTGGTTTTCAAGACTTTAAAAAAAAATTATTTCACTGTATACATGGCTCTGCTCCGCAATACAAAATTGGCGTGATCAAGCATTACATTCCCTTTTAGACAGCTACGTTCTTAAACTGTTGCTTATTTGTTATTATTCCTAGGGTTAACACAAAGTGGGGGATAGAACCTTCGCTCATGCTGGGGCGTCATTATGGAATACTCTCCCTTATTGGTTTAAAAATAGCAGTTTTGGTGAAGCGTAAATAAATAATCTCAAAGGTGAAATTCAAAGAAAATCACAAATATGTCAACTATGTATCACTAGAAACTGATAAGCTAACAGATGACCGTCGTACAAGTCTTAGGTCAACTACATATCGGGTGATTTATCAAAATACAAATACAACCACCTCCGTAGCAGCTAGGATATACGAGAGATTCGCCGGAAAAATAATGATGTTTTAATGACGTCACTATATGGACCAACACTACCCAAGCAGACGACATCCCATAGAGAATGAACATAATTGCAAAGCTTTTATTTTTCTCAAATTATAATGAGTTTAGTGTACATTCATTTAATGGCATGTCAAACTATTCAAAAGGGGATACGACCCGATTCTGATAACTAAAATCTTTTGCTTGTAAATACAAAGTCGGCGGTATATCCGGCGGTCTGTCGTCGTTTGTTGTCGGTTTCGTTTGTGTGACTGAGGTATCAATATGTCCGAGCCGATGATGTTACGGGAAGAATAATCTTGTAAATCTATTTATGACTTTATTACTTGATAATATTGAAGAAATTAGAAGTGTTCTTTAGTCTAATTTAGAATTCAATTAATAGGCCTACCATTACCGTGAAGTAGCTTGGACGAAAAACTCTTAAATCCTCCATCGGATAGAGCTTTACATAGATTCCCTCCTTGATCATCTTCCATCGATTGGATTTTCTGAGATTCTTTCCAGATATCAAGGACTTGCTTGATAGTGAAATTGCCCCTCTCGAGACTCATTTGGTGTACACCAAGAATGGTGGCAATGTTAGAAGCCTGGAAATATGTTATAGTATCTCGAATGAAGGCGATCACGTTTCCAGCCTGATTTCCACTTCGACGAATTTTACCTGCGGGGAATCGACAGTATTCACATTTTAGTTAATCAAAATATCATAAATGAACTTTCTTACGATAATTTATCCACATCACTCACAACGGATGATATCCGCAGCAGCAAAGGCTGAGAACAAATTTGACGTCGTCATGGAGAGTCCTAATGGTCATACGACAATTCAGTTTGAAAGGTATGACCCTTTCCTTTAATACTGTGCTGCCTTCGGAGGAATATCAGTAGATGAAAATTTAACAATGCAAATGATTTCGAAGTGACGAATAGATAATGGTACTTAAATGTATAGACCAGGTCTGGTCATGCGATTGCATTGTGAAAAAAACGTGGAATCAATCGGAAAAGGTTGATCATCTAGCATATAAGTATTGGTGTGTACTGCAAGGTTCTGGAATCATCAAAATGATAACAAATTTGGCACAGTCTTCGTAAAGTTAGAAACACTGTACACAGAAAGAAGTATATGGGACTACCCTATACCAAATATATCAATAAGTAGGCGATTTCCAGGCAAAATTTGTATTGTCACGTATTAGTCAAAACATATTCTCTTACATGATTGGCAGTAAAAGCTTCCATTTTATTTTTGGAGAGGGGCACGTTTCCAAAACTGGTCTTTACCTTTAAGAACCTTTTGACGACAGGACCAGAATAACAAGAGCAAGGCAGTCATTTTGAGAAAGGAGCCGAAGCATTCTGTTACCTGATATAATGTCAAGCGCCTTTTCTTTACCGAGAACCGGAAAGACGGCATCAGCCAGGGCTGTTCTAGGGTTATACGACGGAGCTTTCACCAAAGACCTCCAAATCTTGAGCATGTACATGGTGTCTGTTACTTCAGTGATTATTCCGAGATTCTCACTCATAATGGCGCACTGGTCTTTTCCGGCACCTTCTCCAATGGCAACCGCACACAAATCACCATGTGATAACTCATATCCTGAAAGGGGAAAATGCACACAATATCAATGGAAGAAAGGGATCGGTGACTTGACATTGGTAAGAATGTCATTAAAAAAAAAAAAAAAAATTACCTATACATTTTAAAAAAATCATTTATTTAGACTCCAAGTTAGAGACTAATACCTTATTACTTATTCCAGCTCAAATTATTTTATCGTATATCTTTCTCCGAAAACGTTTAATGAAAATGTGTGTGAGCATCCCACAAGCCAAACGCCAGTCAGTGATATTGTAATCTAGAGTAAACTCTCACATACAGACTCACTTAAAGCTTATCTGCCGTAGTTTACAGGAGGGATTAGTCTGCCCTGCAAGGTCACTGGACAGGTGGTTATCTCATCAACTCAGCTCTCAGTTAACATAAGAAAAAGAGAATCATGGGGACCAATGGTCACCGATTAGGCATTGTTTGTTATATAGAGGGCGCAAGTAGCTACAAGTAGTGCAGTGGGCCTTTAAGTAAAATAAATACATTTAGTAATAGACAATATTTCAAATTAATATAGAAATTTCCCTCGTTTGAAAGAATCGACCATGAAACGAGAGTCAGATGAGTTTTTGTAAAATAGTACAGTCATCATAATAGCGAAGCATTCACTCACCGTACGTTAACAAATGAGCCATTTCTTGCAAGCCTGTTCCCCGTACTAAAGCGTCACAAAGTTTACTCCTTGAATATTTTGTCTGTTCACCCAATTTCACCAGAACCCCTATTGTTCCTCTTGACAGTTTTGACCGATCCAGAGATTGCCTTTTGTATGATTTGAGTTTGTAAGCGGATATGTCAAGGGCTTCAGCGAGCGGGTATATGTCCATCATCATGAGACGAAAGGCAATATCAACCAACTCTACAAGACAGACATCTTCTTTGATTTCCAACGGGATAAGATCTGGATATTAAATGAAAGATGTATAGCGCTTAATATTGGATGTGCCAATTTATTTACTACGTTATGGACAGTAACTTGATTCCTAAATTATTATAGACCAGTAGCATGAATAAAATATTCGAAGGAGCATTCGCTGAAAAATTAACTTGACCTAAAACTTGGTGGTATCTGACCCTTTACTGGACTTTCTTAAATAAACATGACTGGTGTGTTTATGCGAATGAGTAATAGGGAGGTTGGGGGGGGGGGGGGGAGCTCCCCCGCCTAGTATATTTAAGGGTAATATACAGTTTTGGGAAATTTTGAAAATTGGGTGGATAGTGATTCTTTACAATTTCGATATATTTGAATGCCCCTGTGGATGTATTATAAGCACAATAAATTTTAGCTCCTAAAACCCTTCTGCTTTCGAGAAAAATTTAATATAACATTTTACCGGTACTTCCGGTAAATTTTGATGAATTTCAAATAGCGCCTACGGCCGTACCTATGGTAGCTACGACCATGACAATCTCAGAATATTTAGTTCAAATATATAATTTCCAAACGGGAAGAGCTAATCGGTCGATTTTAGTCAAGAAACATTGTTTTATAGCTTAAGTAATATCTTGACCTCGAGAGGGAGCTATACATCATAAAGAGTTAATTATTTACAATTTCATAACTTTAGACACGATTTCAACCGCAACAATGATCACTGAATATTGTACGATCGCATATGCTTCCAATATGTTCATTTGAACCAAATTCATGACCCCCATACCAAAACTTTGTATTACCTTCAATAGCTAATATTTGTGTAAAACTGTAACCACATATCCATGTTGGGGTTTGTCTGAATATACACACCCATAGACAAATTTGGTAAAATGGAAAGCCGATACCCGAGCAAAAGATGTGATCCCCCAATAAAATGGACCTGTCATTGCACCGTAGATTACAATTATGTCTCTTGTATTACCTTCCATTCCGAATGGTCTCAGCTTTCCACGGAGACTTTGACGGCAGCTAATGTGTTGACCTGCTGTACTTCCCTTCTCGATCCAAGCTTTGTTCGCATTGAAGCTGTCTCCTTCTGCATCCTCACCGAACATCTCTGAAAGTTCCGCTTGGCCAAGATACTGGACAATTCTTCTTAACTCGGCATCACTCACGTTGTTTTCGGGATTATCATCTTCTTTATTTGTAATGTGTAGATGAAAATATAAATGAGAGATTTTAAAAAGAGAAAGGAATAATAAGCATTCACAACGGAAAGTGAATCTGAATACAACCCTTTCATAAATGAATACCCGTACTTTCGTATTTTATAAGTATAAAGGTATTTGAATGTAAATCTGATTCATCCACTGTTCATCCAATTTCACGCGGTGTGTTAAATTGTAGCCTGATCGTAAGTTCCGGAAAAGTATTATCCTAATTTCAATTTGGCATTTATGTTCAATGGTATACAGAAACATAAGATACTTGCCTCTGCTTGATTTCGCCTCTTTACTGTGTTCAGTTTGTTCTTGTTGCCCAGTATCTGACGATATGAAATGATTGTCATATCCTACCAAATAACCTTGAAGGTAAAGAAGTAAAATGGAAACAAAATGTAACGGCTAATCAAATGTATACGTTTCACCCTTTTAACGTTGTATTTCATATTGATACAGATATATTTATAGAGAGAATTGAATGACATCGAAGTTCTAGGCTTCATAGCAAACTAATGGTCAAAGGAAGCACGTTGTTGAATGGAATATGACCGTGTGCTTTATACCTCAATGAGCATTTAATCGAGTCAAATAAAAACATAGATTTGTGAATTTGGTTTTCAAATTCAATATTGCCTTTACCTCAGTAAGCCCTATAAAATTTTCCAAATGTCTCACATTTTACACTGCGAATACAAGTCCCTAACATGTAGTAAAGACCAGCTATCGCCAAGATCGTGATGAATTGAATCTCCACTGTAGCCTACCTTTTAAATCATGTCGTCCAATACTGATGGCTGCGTGATTAAGTTTACATCTCCTCTCAATATGACTGCTGTTTTCTTTATTGCTTATTTCTTTCGCTATCCAGTAACTTATCATTGCTTCTGCATCAAACGAATCGTTATTGTCTTCATCAATGATGTTTTCGATCTCACCACGTGTTAGATACACAACGTTTTCAAATATACCGCAGTGTCTTCTTGCCAGCTTCTGGACAAAGTGATGTAGCTCATCAGAAGATATGGGCTCATCAGGTACTGTCAATGAAACGGCATATGGCACTTAATTAGTGAAATAAAATATCATTTTGGAATAGACTTCAAATTGAATGAGAGAAACAAAGCTATATTTTGATAGCTGAAATATCTAGCAATTTGATAACTTTGTAGAACTTTATGATGATCATTTGGGTTTAGAAAATATCAGCCCTGTGGTAAAATGCTCACCGCAAAAGAAAGTTCTGTCTACTGGATTGCATCCGGCTCTCTCCAGAGCTAGGCTCAGCAATACCACCGGGTTTTCGTCAAAAGTCCCGACGCTCCATTCCTGCAGTTCTCGCAGAGGTTCTTGAAAAAGCTTTGACATCTCATCAGTGTCTTCGAAATCTGTTGTTGTTCGACCTGGAATGAGTTCGGAGAGGAACTTGTTGATTTTCCCAGGTCCTCCAATGTGCCAACAAATGTGTTCGAGTGTTCCTTCCGAAACTCTGATCGCCGAGTTTCTCAGTAGATCTGCGCACATGGTAATCGGTTGAATCGATAGTACTTTATGTTTGAACTGTTTAAGACCATAAATTACGATGTTGACATTTTCAGCTAAATTGACAAATAGAATTGATTGTGCAAATGTGTAGTGGATATTTAGATTACCCGACTTTGCTTTTCAATAACATGTTGTGAGAAATAAAGATTGATTTTTGTTAGAGTATTAAAGTAACATTTTATAAAATCTACACAATAAAACATTTTGTTTGCAACAATAGTTCAACAATTATGAACACTTTGCCATATTGATTGAATAGATAGGAGGAAATGTGTAGACTAAAATAAAATTCAAAATCCCCTTTCCTAACTTATTCACTCTAAACCTAAAGTTTCTAAATTGAATGTTTAGGTAAAACTTTGCTGACACAAAAACTTGAGAAAATACCGATCAAAATGTAATTACCGCATATTTCCTTCCATGCTCCACCAAACCCGGTTTTTTCCAAAGCTCCGTTCCAGATTGCTGCTTGATCATTGTGTGCATTGTCCATTTTCCACCTACACAAATATGGGTAAGCCTCAAGGGGTGTAGTTTTTTCATTTAATTTCTTGATGCCTAATTCGTAGAACACGTCATTTAATTTCCTCATGTCAGACATAGTAACTCCAGACACCATCCTCCAGAGTTCGTAAAAGGAAAGTATGCCTGAGAAGAAGAATTATAATTGTATGCATTATTAACTACTTCTGCAATATATTAGTGTACGACATAATACATGCTGATTGAATGTCCAAAGCTTCACAACGTGACCATATTTTCCTCCTAAGATTACGACTCATTTAAATATAAAGTGTTCTTTGTTATATGTCCTGTGTCTTTGTGAACACTGACGTTTTCAGAGTATGGTTGAATGTACCACTGTACATTTGTCATTGACGACCATTTTTATTTATATTTCCAAACTGCAACTATTAAAGTAAAGGAAAGCAATATATGAAATGGAATATATATTCTTTTGAAACCTGTAACTTCATGATGCTTATCATATTTTGTTACCTTTTATCGGCATTTGCTCCACCAGGGGTAAACCCTCTTCTTGGACACGTCCTCTACCTAAAAAGGAATAAAAAGGTATTTCCTAAGCACCGTCACTGGAGTTAATTAGATGTTGTTTGCGCGTTGTTATTTTAATATCCGTCACCGGATTCAATTGTATTAAAGGAATCCGGTAACTTTGTCTCAGATTCTTCAACAAAATCCTTGATTTAGCTCATGCTGCAATCATAAATATAAACCTTTAGGTCATTCAGGAATGCCATGACTTTTACAAGCCGATCGCCTGTCTGATTATCAAGATATTCACGATTGAAAATCGAAATTTCATTTTGTGTTTTCCTAACGGCGTTTATTACACTACACTTTATTGGGAAAAATGAGTATGGTAAAACCCGTCACTCAAAGATTTTTTATTTTTTAAAGGAACTTCATGATCATTTTGAAGCGCAATTCTTTTAGGGCTTCAATGTTACACCATATCACAGATCCTGATAACACGTAAGGCCATGCATCTTAGATTTAACATTGTTACACGATGCCTTTAAATATTATATTGGTCAGCAAACTAATTTCTTGGTAACTTATCATAATTTGTATTATTATTATTATTACTGCTATCATAATGTTGATTATCCATCTCGAATAGATGTTTTAACCCATGTTCATTATAATTTTCTGTGACGAACTATATTTTATCAAAGGTAAAAAATACCTCTGATGGTAAACGGCCTTACTTTTGTCAGCTCATTACGTATTGTTTTTACGATTCCATTGTGGATTATTATTGTAATCCTGTTAGGGCATGTATATTTCAATTATTATCCTGACCATTACTTAGGTACACATTATTGCGTGTAGTTTACATTCTTTCTCAACTTGAATCTATCGTGAAATGGATGGAGATGAACCTTTAGTAAATGTTATTCTTACTTGTCCTGTCTTGTCGACGTTGTCTTCTCCAGCAGACGATGAGTATACAGACACCAGCTATTGTCACGAATACTATAGGCACTACTGTAAAATGTGTTAAGACAATGCACACACAATGTAGAATTAACTTTTAATTTCTTATTATCTGTCATTCAGCTTTTTCAAAATATTTCACAATGTAAAAAAAAAAAAGTTTGTGTACATTTAGTGTTGAGAAAGGGAATTTATGTCATACCGATTTTGGCGGGTCTCGCTGCATATGTCGTCACCGAAGTCGCCATAGTAGTAGTCGAAGGAGAAGACGATCCATCACTAGCTACACTTGTAGAAACTGCAGGCAGTACAAGCAAAATAGTCGCAACTCTTTGCTCTTTCGATCCAGGGATATCCGATGCAACACATACGTACGGTGTCTCACTGGACGAACCTTTGATTGATATGGATTTGCTCTTCGTACCGTCATGATTTGTCCTCTCATTGGTTACTAGGTCAGTGATCTTATTATGCCCATGCAGAAAGAAAAGGTCTAGATCTGGATAGTATCTCGAAGCCACGCAGGTTATGTTAATTGGAGTACTCGTCGAAATACTACAACTCTGTGATGCAGATGGTTTCCTTTCCAAACATTGATGAATAATTGGAAATGGATCCTGTGGAGGAGCTGCAATAAAACAGAACGCGAAACAGAGAAAATAACAAGTCACGTAGCACCATATTCGTATGAACAGAAACTTAAACATCGCAATATTACTTTAATGGCTGAATGCGTATCATCAGGATAATGGCTGTATATACTGTGTACTTTGTTCCATCGGGTCTTCGCTTCGAGTCGGACTGTCGGGTTACACGACCTTTCGTGAAAACTTCCTCCATTTTCACGAAAGCTGTAACACAATGCATAATGGCGTTTAAAAGGCTGCTGCCACGTTGATATTGAAGCTCAATATTACACTGGAAATTTTTGCTTTACCGTTGTGTTTCTCTCATTTTGACACATCTACATAAGGTAAACGTACATTTAGCACTTATTAAGTGTGTATGATATTTTGTGAGTTGTTAACGAAGATGTGCAATAATCTTGACTTTAGAATATGTTTTCTATTTACGTGCTGAACTATTTTGACTATCGCAACCCTACCGTCACCCTACGGTCAGTTGCCCGCAGAGCTGAGACTCCCGCTGACTACCTTTTCTGCTCAGTGATCAAGTCTCACGGATCGATGCATCTTCAATCCCAATTTGAATAGAGCTGTGTATTTGAATAGAGAACATTGGTTCACAGTGGACCCGTCACGCTGTTCGTATTCTAGAGAACAACTCTTCCAACTTCGTTATGAGAACAAACGAAGAAGCCTTCCCCTCCATACGTACCAAATGATACGCGAATGTGGCATCATGAGACGGAAACGAGGTCGAAAGGGTGGAACACATATACGGCGACGGATTTAAATCGTACATAGTCAGTGCGTTTTTCGGGAAAAAGAAAGATATTCATCACCCCAAAATTTTGTGAATGTAGAGATTGAAAAGAAAACTGACATACAATACTATGTAGAACGCAGGAAACCAACTCTGCCTAGGTTTTACCTGTGCAATACCAGATCGCTGAAGAACAAGATTGATGAATTACATGTGATTGCGACCCAGGAGGGTGTAGGAGTAACGGCAATGTCGAAAACTTGGATTCGCACAGACATACTGCCAAACCTTATATTTCTCTCCAACAACATGCTCTTTATGAAATCATTACCTGACAGACAGGGAGGAGGGGTTGCAATCTATGCCCCAAAATTGCTTTAAACCTGGAACGATTTGAGGTTGATGTTTCAGGTGATCTGGAAGTCCTATGGGTGAAGATCCGACCTGTACGGCTTCCGCGATCCATCTCGCAAATAGTAATAGCTTTTGTCTATTATCCACCTAACATCCTGGTTTCTGACAGCTTAATTAATCACCTTCAAGAAACCATCGATCAGACCCTCACTTCAGCTGTTATCCTGATGCTGGTATCGCTGTTATGGGAGACTTCAACCAACTAGACTTGTCCTCACTTCTAAGGGACAAAAGGTTCAAGCAGGTGGTGAATAAACCAACAAGAGACGATAGAACCATGGACAAAATTGGAACGAACTTCTCTGTCCAATATCAAGAGCCGTCCATTACATCCCCTTTTGGGGCGAGTGATCACAATGCTGTCCTTTGGACACCTGTTGTACCATGTCTCCATCATAATACAATAGTAAAGCTTGCCTTCTTTATAATATATTCTTGGTATTCGTGTTCGCTTTCATTTGTACTTCCCTCTTATATACACGGAGATACAGTTTTTTGCTGCTGCTGCAGAAGTGTACTTCTCTTTTTTTCCCTTGTTTATATTAATGTTCGATGTTGATTTTTTTGGGTATAATTATTGTTGATCTTTTTATGTATTGGTGGCCCCTTTTTATAAGCTCTGCTTTCTCCGGGGCCCCAAACCATCATTGTGTTATTCTAAATTCTTGATGTAACTTATTTTGACTGTATGTATATTTTGATGGTTGAACAATAAATGAAATTGAAATTGAAAATTGAAAAGAAGACCACAAGACCTTGTTTGTTTTATTTCCGAAAATCATCATAAAAAACAATAACACAATATAACAAAATCAAAGACTTAAATAACAATGATATAATGATAAAACGGTTGGATAGTCCATTTCAGGCTCTGTTCTTCCATGGAGTCCAATATATATATATAATGATACTATAAAAAGTAATGATATATCAAAATAGTAAGTCGTAATTAAAACCGTTGCCTGACTCAAGACTGGGAGAATTTGGTTCTTGCATCACAGGTTGTAATTGTTGAATCATCAACGGTAAATGTTAAGACTGAGATGTTCTACAAAATGTTGACTGACATGATTGAACGTTAATACCTTCCGACACGATGTCTAAAGATGCACACCTGTGTTCAGCCCTGGATAACTCCTGCAATCAAATCATTCATTCAGGAACGCCAGCGTACTTTCCACAAGAACGATATAGCTTTGTCTAAAACCATCGGGAAT